GTGAGAAAGTCTGAAAGTTGACATTTGGCTGGCCTTCAATCGCGATTTCTTTGAGAAAATTGTTGTTCATGTATAGAGTTAAAAGGTAAGCACAAAGCACATCCATTATAGGGATGTATTCAATTATTCAATATGCATTTCTCGATTTGCTCTCTATGAATTCATCATTCTAAAATCCAAGGATAACTATGATAATGGTTTTGATAGGCAGCATTCGAGACAATGCTCCCCACTTTCTTTTAGACCATCGCGTTCATTGTCTTTGAAATGATTTCCCCTATGAATCAATTTGTTAGCAAAAAGATTTTTCCTTGATTACCTTCCTCCTAGTTACTAGTTGTGACTTAGGAACCCAGGCCAATTCAATTCTATCAATCAGCATTGTAGTATCTCATAGGTTTGTGTGTTGCTGTGTGAAATTCATACTAGCTATTTGTCAATAATGGCTTTGCTGAAGCATAGTAATCAGTGGCTAATCTCATTGACTGAGGCATATGACTGCCGTCGAGAAGCCTGTCATTAGAACTCGTGCTGTGTGTGAAACTTTGTTGAGAAGTGGACGAATCAATCCCAGAGGAGTTTAGTCAGTTTATACTCTCAGTATTTGATAACAAGGTAATAGTAAAGCAGTGAGGGCTTCAACCTTCAGGATCATTCTATTTAGGTGTATCAAGGGTACACTCGGAACCTCAATCTCAGCTATGGGGCTACATTAAAGAATTCTATCCTGAGTGAAATGCTAATTCCAACCAGTTTGTGGTTTTAGAGGACTTTTGATTCTAAAAACCACTAGAGCTTGTTCCATACTTACCGGGGTGGGAAGCTCGGGAGCCTTTTGGTATCCACTAGCAGCTTCTGGAGCACTCGATCCGCGGTACCAATTTTCGTTGACGACCTAGTGACTGACTTATCAGTCATCTCATGGTCAGAAGTGCGACTAATGATGAAGAAGTCCCACATTCTTTCTACGTTGATCATTCCCGTTTGGGCTTCGTAATCTACTTTCACTCATAATCGTGTTGGCGTTTTGAATGCGTGTACGGCCTATACGGTGATTTGGGGATCAGCCAAGTTTGGTAATTCCGTTCACCCGATGGAGAGGGATGGTGTACATTTGATTCCTGGATACGTGCGATAGTGCGCTTCAGCTCATTCCACACCATCCTCGCTCTTGACATTGTTCGAGTAGTAATATACCAATACTCTAATACCTCTTGATTTTTGGGTAAAAGTCGTAAGGTGATGTCTTTTGGCGTTTTTCAATCCCTTCGAGGGATGTACCCCGGCATTCAAGCACAATTCAAAATCGTAGTGACGTAATAAATGCGTATGTAGCTTATACAATGACTTGACGTGGCTAGTCAATAAACCTGTCACTGCTTTTATCCTCCCAGACGACTCTGATATCAATTAGCCGATCCCAGAAGGATGAAAAGCTTGGTCGACCAGGGCGGATGTCAATCTGGGATTCGAACCCGGACCCATGCGTGTGTGAAAGTGCGCTACTTGCCATTGCACCATCTCCGTCAATTTTTGAATAATAAGAAAGAATGCCAGGTTGATCAAGAAGATCACTTTGATATTCAGTTTTGACGGCCTTCGTTCAGCTTTCTTGATAAATTCTTGTTAAAGTAGGCGACGATGAATAGGCTCATTAGCCGCTGGGTCCAACGATCAATCCACTCTAGACATTCGTGCAGTGCCAGGGTTTCTGGGAAGTATTAGTGTCTTGTATTCAGCAATCCCGAAGATTATCCAAGAATCTTCGCTGCATTGTTATCAGAGCCTCATGACAATAACACTTAATGCTCCCATACTAGCATACTCCAGGAGCACATTATCACATGTATGGATCAGCTCACACTAACCGGGTCTTCCATCCTTCCCTGATCGATTAAATGTTACCAAACTCATCTGGGAGGATAAAGCCCTAATTTTGCACATCGACTGGCTCCCACAAGTCATAGTATAGTCTAAATATTCATTCCAATGCCATTCTGAAGAGAAATCGAACATGTGAGCGCATCCCTTGGACTGGATAAACTGGCGCCGAAGGGACATTGTTCTACGGTTTCTAAGCTCCAGGATTCATCCACGAATCCCAATGGAAGCGTACTTCCACGCACTAGGATCACCCGACTTACTTCGGGCACTGTTTTTCGGCTTGGGCGACGCTTTGGTTTCTTCCTTTCAAAACAATTAGTTCATTAATTATAGCCACAAATTTTTATGCCTACACCATTACTTCAATTGTACTGTTACCATGTACTTTTCCGCCGCCTTCACTAATTAAGCGTTGCCTTCTAATGCCATTTATCAGCTCTTATCAGCTGTTATCATGTTCTTTACCTCTTTATATATGATCATATCATAACAGTTATATAACACTTCAAATCGTTCATGTTATTACGCTGGCTCAATAATTCCAGTGACTGCATTTTAATTCTTCTTATCAGCTCTTATCAATTACTATCATATAGTATCAGTGGCTAATTTTCTCTTTCTGTGCTCTCATTCTTTCACAGAGTTGTAGACTGGAACGATTCGATGATAAATGGGCAAACTGCATCCCGTTCAAAATGTTTCTCATCGCTATCGTTTACCTTGGTTGCTATACTTTTTTCAACACCGCTCCTCCACCGTAAAAGGGAACTTTCTAGTTGTCCCATCAATTGGACAAATGTCCTATTCTTTTCATCAAACTTATCAGAATTACTTACATCCATCACTTACACCCCATCCTTCTGCTCACAACCCCTTCCAGACCGAGTCTTCATTTTAATGTTGCCTTGTATATTACATCGTCGGTGTGGCATACACTGCCAAACGGATTCGTCCAAAATTAGGCTCGTTGAAGTGATTTAGCAACAAAACCATCACAATGGGCACAAAACCCGCTGAAGCTTTACAAGCTAGCAAATTCTTGATTGAATAGAAATCCCCTTGCATTTTTTTCTTGATTTGCCGGGTTAATCCATCACCTGTCTCCTGTTGCCCCGTTGATCATCGATTTCCTCGAGCGGGTGCCAGTAACGTCCCCATTCGTCTGTGTCACGAGCTAAAGTAGTCCATTGAATCGTACTCGCTTGAGGGACATGGGGCAGAAGATTTCTTCCGTTCAGAGCTTTCGTGAAAAGGTCTGATCATTGCATCAGCGGCCGTCCTGGTGTTCGTTTGCCGTCCAGAGGGATCCAGTCTGGGGAATGACTCTGGAAACGAAAAACGGGCTCGTGCATGAGGTGACAAACTTTTATTGAAAGCATCTTCATTACCCTTAGGCTTGGTCCTACTACTTCAATGAGCTGAGGTGAGCATCGTGAAGATTGTTTGAGGTTTTGTCGCCTAGACAGAGGGTGGCCGTTAAAGGCACAGTTCACGATAATTCTGGGGTATCCGGTTTTTGACGAAAAATGTTAGTACGGCCTACCGTAGTACAATGGAAAAGCAGAAAACGCGAAAAACGATGCATAAGAATAAATATGAAGCATAAAAAAAGAAGAGGAAAGGGTGTTGGACGAGTTACACGGCGAAAAAACTGCAATTAAGGGAATTTTCAAGCGAGTAGGCGAATGCGGCTTAATGTCTGCAATTGCACACAACACGCTTAAACGGCTGATCTTGGCTTCTTCGTTAATATTATTCAAACTACTGCTGATATTAAGCTAGATTATTGTGCCTGATCCTTCTGATGACGGCTGAGAAAAATTAATTAGAAAAGAATAGAGCAGAATATTAGTTGAGTAGTAGGAATACAGCCGAATACTATTCCTTGTAGGAGGCGGTCGATTAGCTTATTGATTTTTCACTGATGTTGCTCCAATGCGAAAATGGTGAGCGGCAATTAGATTTCGTAGTCAGCCTAGCGAGGGGCAGAGGCTGACCGTGCTTCGCTCTCCGGCCCCCTATTGTGCCCTATCCAGAACGTTTTTCGACATCATTCCGGCACATATGGTATCAGAGGGGGCCCCGAATTCAAACGATGTGCAAATCTCCGAAACCATTTTTATCGTGAACCGTACCTTTAAGGCGAGCACCCATGAAGAGAACGATGCATTATGTTCATCATGGAAACTACCATCAAAAGCAGTGGGTTGCCTATGTATGGGTACAGTTCATGAACAAGCTGTCCATCCTTACTTTGTGTCTTGTTTGTAAAAGCGAGCGACCAGAGCCACTGGCTGCGATCTCGAACATTTCGTGAAGGTAGTGTGTCCACTACCATAAAAAGCATATTTTGATATGGCTTGTCTTCCTACATG